CGCCGCGTTGAAGCACGCGTGGATGTCCGACGCTGCCTTCCGGCGTGCCTCCAGCGTGGCCGGCGCGCAGTTTTCGGTCAGGACGGGCAAGGCTGGGCGCGGGCCCTGGAGGCGCCGATCGCCCAACCGGTCAGGGGGCACGAGCGGGCCGCCTTGCGCCGCGCGGCTGCTGGCCAAGAAAGCCAAAAGACCCTGAGAACCGACAGCAGGCGCCTGCGGCGAGCGCCCTGGCGGCGGGGCAGAATGCAGAGCGGGCCCCGCTGCAGGGGCGCCACGTGGCCTCATCAAAGGGGCCGGCTCTTTCGGAACAGCGGGGGCGGAGGCGGCGCTGCTCTCAGCGGATCCCGCGGCATTCTTTCCGAAATCGTTGCTCTGAGCGCAATTCTCCATGTTTGAGCCGACGTGGCTACGGAACAGAGGCTACGGAACAGAGGCCCAAGCAGCGCAGGAAGACATCACTGCCAGAAAGGCAAGCTTCGGCTAGCCGGGCCTGCGACATGAGCGGACACCCCATAGAGGCAAGAAGAAGTTGTCATCGCCAAAGCGGGCTGGGCACGACACGCCGCGTCACCGCCGTCAGTGGCACACGTAATGGTGTTTCGCAAACGATTGCGCGGACTGCGCAACGCAGTCCGCGGCCGCCTAGCAGCTACGCCCAGATACGCAACGAGAGCTGCTGAAGGCCGGGCACTGGGACCTCGGCAACAGCTACGTCCAGGCACGCAACGGTAGCCGCCAGGGCCGGGGCCTGGAGTCTGGAAAGAACGGAAATCAGCACTGGCACCGCCGCTCAGTGCCAAGAGCGGCGCTGATTGCAGTTCTGTCTCCAGGCTCGGAACGCTGCTGGATGGGGCCGACGGGCGCCTTCGGCGCACGCCGGAGAGGGTTGGGTTCCTTACCCGCCTTTCTTGCCATTGTATCGCATCGCCCGCGGTGCGGCGCTAGCACTTGGAGATCGTCGGCGGCCATTGGGTGCACGCCGCGTCCTACCCGAAGGAGTGCATGAGCTGTTTTCAAGAGGTGTGGTGCGCATTGTCCCACTGGGGCGGAGGTTCCCGCGCGCTGCCAGAGAGCGGGCGTCGGTGGCTTGTCCCGGCTCCCGCCTTGCGCCCGTGCTTCTAGCGCGACCTACGCAGCCCCATGTCGCGCGTCGTGACAGCCTCAGGCGCCAGCGAGCATGGCGGGGGCGTCACGTGCACATCCAGGCGCGCCGCTGAGGGTCGCACCGCCGCTCTGTGTGAGCTGGCAGGCGGTTGTGCTAACGGTCGCGACCTCCTCGTGCTCATTGAGGTCGGCGGCTGCGGGCGTGGCCGGATGGCATTCGACAGCGTCGGGCTCGAGCTCTCGCTGCGCGGGCTGCTGTCGGTCACGCCTGGCGCTGCTCGCACGGCGCGGGCCCGCTGGCCCGAGGCCGAAGATTTGGGCGACCTGCATGCGTTTCGGCGAGGCCACTGCTCGCCCGGTGCTGGGCCGCGCCTCTCACGCCACCGACCTCGTCCTCATTTGCCACCTCGGATCCGCTCAGGGGCCTCGCGCCAACCTGCCCCTCATTTGTTCCGCGCAGCGCATTTTGCAACGGGGAGGGGCTGGGTGGAGGGTCTGGCCGGTGCGCATCGCCGCGCCTTCGACTTCGCGGAAGCGGGTCGAATCTGTCACGCGCGCCTTCCGCGCCGCCCCCCCTTTGATGGGCGCGTCGACGGCATCCGAGAGCAAGGCTACGAATATTGTTGGCTGAGCTGGACGTTGGAAGGTGGCAGTCACTTGCGGCCGTCGCGGCAGCCAGACCAGATCACCTTGCGCGGGTCCGAGTCCACCCCAGCCGACCTCCCGGCGTCCGCAGGCGCTGACTTGCGGAGCGCAGGGGCAGGGCGTGCAGCTGGGTGCCCACTAGGGGAAAGGTGCCCTTGCGAGACCGCGCAGCGAAGTTTCGCGCAATGCCTTGCGCTGAAGCTGGGCTTCCCGCGCGACTTTTTCCTCTTCGCACGGAGTCGCAAGTCAGGCATCACGTCGGAGGCGCTTGGCAGAGCAGTGCGGGCCTGTGGCCCCTCTTGCTTACCTGGTCGGGCTCCGGCGCTGGCAGCGAGGTTTCTTGCCCGACGCCCCAACTCCCGACGCAGCCCGCGGCGGGCTGTCTACCGCGGGCGTCGCCTTCGTCGAGCGCCTGGCCGGGAGGGCGATTGAGAAGATCGCCTGCGCAGATTCGCATCAGCTATCGCTCGAGGCCATGATGCGCTCCACGGTCTCCAAGGGCTCCGACGTCAGTATTGCGACGGCCTCCCTGTGCGACCCCAGCAGCTGGCCGCGCCGAGGTATCCCAGCCGCCAGGTGAGACTGGATGACTTGCCAGGCCTGGCGCTGGCGCGACGCCGAGCACATCAACGAGCTCGAGTTGCGCGCCGCGCCCAGCAGCGCCCGGTGGCACCTGAGGAGCAGCACGCAGATTAGTTCACGCGTTTCTGCCATCCTTTAGACTCGCAGCTGTGCGTCGGAGTGCTTTACATGAGGAGGTCGTCTGCCAGGGGCCTCCGGAAGATTCTCGTCCGCATCGTCTCTTTGCTGCTCGCTGGTAGTCTGCACCCGCAGTGGGTCTATGCGAGATCGGCGGACCATCCCGCCGACGCGCCATCGCGATGGCAAAGCACTTGGAGGCCGCCACGGCCAGGCAGCGACAGCAGAGACGACGAGCAGCGGGCACGCTGCGATAATGGCAGATCAAACCGCGCACCTTCAAACGGTAGAAACTAGCGGTCAATGCCTTTTGTCGACTGGCTCGAACGGGAGCGCCCTGACATTTTGAACCACCTTGCACGCCCGCTTAGCGCAGAGGCCGTTGACGAGGCGGCTTCCGACTACCTAGAGGCACTGTGGGACGACGGATCGCCCCGCAGCGACGCCGCCGACGCTCTCCCGGGACTTCAACACCTGGTCCCAGGCCTTCGGTGAGAGATCGAGGAAGGCTGGCGCCTGCTACGCACGTGGGGCCAGAGCTAAATACCTAGCCGCGCCCCGCCGTTACGACAGGAGGCGGCGGCCGGCTTTGCGCTTGCCGACCGCCGTGGCGACATGGCCGCCTTAGTCTTAGTGGGCTTCAGCGGCTTCCTGCGCCCCTCCGAGCTGCTCGTCTCGACGCGCGATTGCGTTTTCGATCATCGCAAGCGCACCTGCGTTGTCAAAGTGGGGCTGACCTAGGGCGGCAAGAGGCAGGGTTGCCCTGGGGACGTCATCATCGTTGACGAGTGCGCCTGCTTGCTGCTGCGCCGCTCACTTGCGGGCCGCGCCGCCAGCAGAGCCCTCCTGCCGAGGGGGCTCGCGAATTTTCGCGCAGCTTTCGCAGCCTACCTCGGCAGGGTCGGTTCCGACCCGAACAGGGTTAAGCCATGCAGTGTTCGCCTTGGTTTCGCCACTCGGCAACGTGGCGCGACGTGCGAGCGAGGGCGCTGGCACTCCAAGGCCACGGCCGAGATTTGCGTCGTGGAGGGGGAGGCCGCTCTCGAGGCCATCCAGGTCAATAAGGCCCAGCGGACAGCTCTGGAATTGGGGCAGCAGCTATTCCACAAGCACATCACGCGCATGCTGGGGAGTAGGATGACAAAAACACGCTTCCGGCAGAGCTATGGGGCCCCTGAGGTACGATTTCGCCAGATAGGGGGCGCGTGATCATGCGCGGCACCGACGGCCAGACCCTCTTGAGGGGAGACCGCCCCTAGTGGCGGGGGCCGCCCTGGCATGGCGGCTGCTGCTTACCCTCCCTGAGGGGAGCCCGTCCTTAGCGGCGGAGGCCGGCCATGTATGGCGGCTGCCGCTGGCCCGCGCTCCGAGCTGAGGAGCTCGAGGGCCAATGGCCTGGGTCGCCGAGCCGAGGGGGCTCGAGGGCCGAGGGCCTCATTGCAGCATCTCCGGGCCTAGGGCTCGAGGGCCGCAGGCCTGCGCTGTCAGCGCGGTGCCGCGCGCGACGTCGCACGCAGCGGTGCGGCGCGCCAGCGCTCAGAAAAGATCCGCGCGCGCTCGGTGTGCTATGACATCGCCATCGGCAAATAGCACACGAGCAGCAATATGATCGTTCCATAGCAATGTTGAATCCCGCCCACGCCTCCCTGAACACGCAGATCCTCCACTTGATCATGCACGGCCTCCTTATTCTCCTCCTCGTCCTCCTCCACGTCCTCCGTCTCCTCCTCTTCCTCGCCGTGGCCACTCTCGCAGCCGGCAATGCCACGGCCGCCCGCGCCGCTGCGCTGCGTTGCGCAGCTCTGGCAGCGGGGCGGCGAGATCGACCGGGCGCATCGGGCGTTGGCGCCGTAGTCTTGCCGGCTGAGGCGCACTTGGCACACGTAGTGTGGCCACAGTAGTCGAGGTCCCAGTGGCCACAGACACTGCAAACGCCGCGGGCATCCCACTGCTTAGCGGCCGATCCACGCCGCCGCCCAAGTTGAGCGCCATGATCACGATCACGACGAGGTTGAGACCAGTTCCTGTTTGCTCCACGGCGGTGTGGCCTCATCTGCTCAAGACACTTTGCTTCATTGTTCTGTGCCCATCTCGTCATGCACTGCTTACGAGGAACTCTGTTCACCCGACGGCACCAGAGGCTGCCCCAAACTGGGGAGGACCAGCCTTGTGAAACAGATGGGTGCCAAGCGACCGCCTTGACTGCAGCGCATCAGTGGTATCCACGCTGCCCACTGGAAAGCAAAACTCCTTGGGCAAACATGGCTACGGTCGGGAATGGGCGGGGGGAGGGATCGGAGGCGCGGGAGGAGGAGGGCGACGGGAACGAGGGGGAGAGGGAGAGTATAAGGAGCAGGGTGATGATGATGATGATGATGATGATGATGATGATGAGGAGGAGGAGGAGGAGGAGGAGGAGGAGGAGGCGGAGGAGGAGGAGGAGGAGGAAGAGGATGAGGAGGAGGAGGAGGACGAGGACGATCACGAGGACGACGCCGAATAACGGGAGGAGGACGGCGACGACGGTGATGCTGGCGACAAGTCTGCGGCAGGGCCCCGTGTGGATCGACGAGACCACGCGGAGGCAGCCGTGGCGCGGCTGAAGGAACGCATGTGCCCAGGCGGCCGCCGCAGAGCGCCGTCCCGCGCAGCCTCCGCCGCTGCCCCTGCCAGAAAAGCAAGAGCTCGTCACGGTGCGTCGGCGATTCCGCCGCCGTCCTTCGTGGTCGTCGCGATCGTCGTCGTCGTCGTCGTCGTTGTCGCCGTCGTGGTGTTCATCATCGCCTTCCTCGCCCCTCTCCCGACGTCGCTCCGATTCCCCGTCTTTCCTGTTCCGTGCCCGGACGAAGGACGAGTACTATGAGGACGAGGGCCTCGTCCTCTTCGGCCTCGTCGTCCTTTCCCTTCCCTCCTCCTGCTCCTCACCCCTGCCCTTGTCATCCTCCGCTTCTTGGTTCCTTGCTGCCCGCATCGTGCAACACACACGCACGCGCCCTCTCCCAATAGTATGTCATGCATACCGATGTCGATGTGTATAGCTGCTGTCGGCTTGCTCCGTACCGGAGGCCTCCCTGGGCGTTGAAATGGTGGTGGAGCTAAGTAAGCCAAAGCAAGAGATGTTGACTATGGCGAGCAGGGGCAAGGCGATACACACTATCAAGAAGGTGCCTGATACGCAGTACGCGCCCTCCTCTTCCCCTGACTCCCTTCCCGTCTGCCTACCCCCCTCTCTTTGCTCAAGGGGTGTAGGGTGATTGGCAGTGGGATGGCCTGGAGGCTCCTCAGTGCTCAGCAGCCTGGCCCGCGGCTTCCGCAATAAGTGGGTCTCTGTGGCGACACGTCAGGGTTACCGAGCGTGGCGCTGCCGCAGGCGCCTCCTCTGGTTATGAGTATTGATTGTTTTATGATTCGGACATCTCGCAGCTGACGCGCCATTCAGCGGAGGTCAGCGGAAGTCAGGTTGACCGCTCTGGTCGTTAAACCAGGCGAGAGCCTCAGGCTGCTCGCCCGCGACACCTTGAAGATGAATGCTGCGGCGACGTTGCAGAAACGCGCCGGGTCTCTACTGCAGTTCGCGGCGTGGGCGGCGAACCGCGAGGCGGAAGCTTTCCCGCTGTCGGAGGAGGTGGTCCGTGAGTACCTCGGGGGTTTTGCTGCTTTCTCCGCGAGAACGGGGTCATCCTTTTTGGGAGATTTAGACCTTACTGGGCGACCTCTTTCTTCCAGGTGGATGTCGGCCGCGAGCTCATGTCTTGGTTCAGGGGAGTGGCGTTCAGAGGCTTGGCCTGCCAGATGGAGACGGTCAAGGTCCCGCCCCCTCCCGTCAGTCTCGTCTTGTAGTTCTGTGCTGAGGTCACGGAGGTGGCGGTGACTATGCTCTTCTGCCAGAACATCCCATAAGCGGTACAGTCCCAGACATGCGACGTCTCGGCCGGATGGCGATGGGGGGATCAGGACATGGGGGGATGATGAGTATCTGGTACCGTTTTGTTGGGGTACAATTTGTACCTTCTCTTCGGGCTGCAAGTACAAATTGTACCTTCTCCCCCCCCCGTTAACATCCTCGCACATGTCGCGGACGTTGTCAAAAGTACAATTTGTACCTTGTCTGCGTGGCGTCGGTACAAATTGTACCTTCTCCGTGGGGCGTAGGTGCACTTTGTACCTCGGTTGCGCCTCTCTCCCCATCTGGACTTGTCCCCCCATTTGCATCCCGCCAAGACGTCCTGATTTTTTCAATACGCGGTCTTCTGGAGTCCCGAGCCTTCCCTTGGTACAGGTTTTTCATCCTTAGCCGTTTTCTGACGGTCCCGCGACCCAGTAAGGGCCCTTGGAGGCCGAAAATTGCGAAAAACTTTGCGTCGTTATTTGTTGCACGACGCGATCATGGCCCAGACATTTTTCCGTCAGCAGCGAGGTGGCGAAGCCCGCTCTAGCGAGAAGCTAGAAATGGGGCACTAATTAGCGAATTGGCCAGCGGACAAAGAGGGGGGAGGGACGGCCAGGAGGAAGAAGGGACGCTCAGATGTCGAAGAGTTCGACGATGAGCAGCCGGGAGGGGCAGCAGCAGCAGCCAGGCGCGCAGGGCCAGAGCGTGGTGGGCGGCCGTGGCAAACCACGGTGGCAAAGGTGGCGGGAGGGCGGCTGCCAGCAGCTGATCATGACCCAGCCATGCGAAGTCCCGACCCCTTCCCCGGGGGCAGTTTTTCATCCTGAGCCGTTTCCTGACGGTCCCCGTGCCCGGCGCGGGCTTCCGGGGGCCGAAGGTGGCCCAACACCGCCCATCGTGATTTCGTTACGACGAGAGCACGGTTGGGGCGGCCGCGAGTTTCCTGCAGTGGCTCCCGCGCTCTCGCGCGCGGTGCGGGGGCGCGGCCAGGGCTGGCCGCGAGCGGTCGCAAGGCGAGGGGGCGGACGGGCGGGGCCTTCCGCGAGGCGAGGGCCCTCTTCGGGCATCACAGGGCGGCATCGCGCTTCCGAGGCGAGAACTGATGCATTACCGCCGCCCGGGGGATCGGATCGATCTTCGAGGACCCCCACAGTCAGGCGATCGCAAACATGGATCAAGGGGGCGTGGATTCGCGACGGGTCCCGCTTCCACGGGGCATCGCGGATGTCCGCCGCCGAGCGAGGCGGCACCGGCCGCATTTTGGGGAAGGCGTTTCCCCCGATCCATGGATTAGGCGATCGTCGCGCGCCAAATCCATGGATCGCCAAACCATGTTTGCGCGCCCCCGACACAGGCGGTGGATATGGATGTATTCGGGCCCCCGGGCACCAACCGATTTCCATGTGCCCGCTGGCCGTCGAAGCGAGACCTGGTTGGGTCAGCGACGCGGCGAAGGCGAGTCGCGCCCGAGTTTCGCTCCACGCGGCATTCGGGCGAATTGCGGCCTGACCCCTCGCTGGAGCATTGTCTCGGGTCTCGACCCCGCCCCCGGGAGTTGAGCGCCCCCCGCCTTCCCTGGATATCTCGACGCCGAGCGGCGCCGATGAGGGGCTGCAGAGGGGGGGGGGGGGGCGATAGCGGAGGCCCGTCGTCGCAGTAGGGCGGAACGGCGCCACTGCAGCGAAGGAGGCAGCTTCTGCGGGGCGCTGCGGCCCCCTGGGCTGGGCGGCGCCATCCGCGCGCGCGGTGATGTGTGGCGTCGTTCGGATTGCAGATGCACCGTCGCCTCTTGCGGCGGGCGGCCTGGCTCGCATCGCCGCTGGGCAAGTTAGACGGCGCACTTACACGGCGCGGCATTTTGCGTTGTGCGTTGTCGCCATCTGTCTGGGCGGCGCTTCCGGCGACGCCTGGAGTTCGCATGCCGGGCCAACGCGGGTCGTCGCATGCCGGATTGGGCGGCTTGGTCGTCGCCGCCCGCGGTTGGGGTGGCTCCTCCGCGCCATGGCGGGCGCGCGAGCACGGAGAGCTGGTTGACGTCGCTCTCGGTACCAGCAGCGCCTCGGCACAGCGCCGTTGCTGGTCGTCGCCTTCGGGCCGGGCGCTTCGCGGTCGCCGCGCACGGGCTGGGCGCGTGTGCCTCCGCAGCGCGGCCCTCGGATGACGCGCGGCAGCGGCAGCGATGCCCCAGCGGCCACCGCCACGGAGGCCAGCGGCCTCCGGGGCAGGCGCGGGCAGCGGGGCAATGAGTGGCCCCGCGCTGCCGCGGCAGCTCCGGGTGTTCCAAGAATTTTCGGCCTCTGGCGGCGCGGGCGTGCAGGTCCGCCTCGGGCACGGCTGCAGGCGCGTGCGGCCAGGCCCCGCCAGGCGGGTCGCCGCTGCCTGCCCGAACGGGCAGCGACCGCGGGGCGGAAGGAGGAGGAGGTGGAGGAGGAGGAGGAGGAGGAGGAGGAGGAGGAGGAGGAGGGGAGGAGGAGGAGGAGGAGGGAGGAGGAGGGGAGGAGGAGGAGGAGGAGGAGGAGGAGGAGGAGGAGGCGGGTGGCCCGCGAGTTCCAGAGGCGCGCCGCGGGGGCGCCACCCAGGGCCTCTTCTTCTCCCTCCTCCTCCTCCTCCTCCTCCCTCCTCCTCCTCCTCCTCCTTCTCCTCCTGTACTGTACTGTACTCAATGGAAGCGGCCGTCGAGTGCCAGCCGCCCCAAACACAAAACACACTCACCCAGTAACGTGTGACTGCGGAGCGGGTGTCACCAGGCCATACCTTGAGAGGAGCTGGGCAGGGCTCCACCTTTCCTCCCACAGGCCTGGATCAGCAGCGGCATGATCATAGTCATCAGCTCGCCTGACCTGGATCCCTCTGTGCGCGGCCCTCAGGAGGGCCAGCAGGTCCAGGGGGGACGGGGAACCATGCCCAGAAACAGTCCACCCTGCATACTGCTTCGCCCACGAGGGAAACTCACCACGCAGGAAACGCGATCTTTGTCGCTTGAGGTCCTTCGTCCTCGGCTGGCCGATACACTTGCCAGCAAGGGACATGACCCCAGACCATGCATATCCTCCACACTTCAAGCAGCAGATCACCCACCCGTTCCCAGCCGCCCTCCCGCCGTCCCTGACAAAAACCTTTGCTTTGCAAAGGTTGTGGCCCTGCAGCCTGGACAGGAGGGTGGTCTCGCATAAGACCTCCTTTGTTAGGCCTTCGGCCGTATCAGAGAGCAGGGGCACCTTGAAATCAACACGCGGTGCCCACTTCGACGTCCTTCCTTACAAAGACGCGCAAATTGCCTGGCAGAAGAAGATTTGGACGGCTGCATCTGGGGCTCGCACACATTGCCTCCTCTCGCCTCAACGGGCTCAGGGAAGCCAGACGAGTCCTCCCAACCTCTGTCAGCCATCATGACATCTTGCGTGCCACCCCATCTGAGCAGCTCCTTCTTGTGCTCAACCAGCACAGAACGGATTTCCAGGAGCTGCTCAGGCATAGGGTGGCACACAGCTCCAAGCTTAGCAAATCTGTCGGCATGCTTATTGCCAAGCCGCTCAGCTTCCGTGCAGCTCCCATTAAGCACGTCTCCTACGCTAGCATGTCCCTTTACTTTAAACGCAGACAGCCCATTCTCAAAAACATGTCAAACCTTGGTCCAGAGATGGGCCCGAGGGTTCTGGGAAGAGCAGCTACTGGCCCTGTCCCAAACACAGCCGAGGGTCCCCTGGCAGTCAGTGAAAAACGTATTATCAGAAAACGGTTCAACCAGCTCTGACGCCATTCTGTAGGCGTAGTCCTCACCGTC